GTACAATAAAGGCAGTCAAAACTAACAAAAGAGCAACAATATGTAAGTGCAAATGACAAGTCTCGGTTAGCCTAACGCAGTACACGAAGCAAGGTATATATATATATATATATATATTGTATACATATAATATATTGTATACATGTATTACATATATTCTATATGACTATAATATTTTTCAATCTGCTTTATAATCTAAATTATTTCCCTTTTTTGTCAAATTTTCAAAATTATGGCTTTTCTATATTATAGACTAGAATTTTAACCATTTTGATGACATTCCAGACCGGATATTTTCATCTTTTCTCCATGAATGTGGGAACCAGTAAGCAGGTAAAACAACCTCACAAACTGTGGCAAGGGAGATCAAATTTAGGTCCTACTAATTTTGTTCAATATTAACAAGTAACGAAAAAAGCTGGTTTTATAGGCCATGAAGAGCAAGGTAGCTCACTGAATTTTGGATCTAAGCTAATATGTCACCATACTATAACAATGACTCTATTAGGGGTGATAACGTACCTCATCACTGTTAAACCGTATAAAACAGTTACTCTGATTAGCTCAGCGAATGAAAGATCGACGTGACGGATCTACGCGGCGATTGAGGTGAGAGAGACGGCGCGGCTCATTTGATGGCTCTGCTCTAATGAAGTGTGATGCCTGTGCCACACTGCGGTGCGAGGTGCGAGCGGCACGGCTGCAAGAGAAGACCGGGAGCTGAGATGGAAATGGAAGGAATGATTGGGATGGAGGAGAGGGGGAAAAAGAAGGGTAGGAGGTAGAGAGTGATGAGAGGCTCTAGGCAATTTGTGCCCAGAATTGCATGGAGATTGCAAACAGTATGAATAGTTAAAGGAAAGGTTTGGTGTGGAGGTAATTGCGGGAGCCACGGGTGTCATATTTGTTGTTTCATGACTGATTTTGATTGCTAGTCTGTGCAGTTGTCATAAAAGTGTTGACTGATAGCAGTAGACCATTTGACAACTTATTGTAGCCGCTTTCCAGATGTGATGGGTAAAAATATCGACTTTCCGATTAATCGCTATCTTTTGAGCTATCTCGGTGTTTTAAATATGAAAACCGCCAGTAGGTGTCGTCAAGTCACTACTGTGAGTCATGAATCATTTAATTCGCTCAAAAGGACTGATTAATTTCATTCAGGAACCTCCAAGTGACCGACTGGATCTTTTAATCATTTTCTCAACCAATTTGTTCAAACACGGATTTGTGCACGAACTAAATCCCAGCTAACAATTTTTGGTTCCCAGAACGTTATTCTAACGTTTCCAGAACGTTCGTTTTTTTTGTTCCCAGAACGTTAATCTAACATTAATCTAACGTTTCCATAACGTTATTATATTGTTCCCCTAACGTTAGTTTTTGGTTCACAGAACGTTATTATAACGTTCCCCTAACCTCTTTACTCCGATATGATCACCCCGCTGTATGTCAGAAATCATCCAGCACACTCGTGGCCCAGTATAGTAGCGGTATGGAAATGATCTGTATGGACGACTAATCAGTATTATAAAAACCACATCTTGTTTTTAATCTATTGTTTAAGTAATAATCTGAGCACCATCAACCATCATATGTAAGATTAAATCTGTCAATTAATATGTAAGATTACGGAGTACGTTACGTTACCCAGATTTTAAATTTCTTCAGCACCAAATAAAAATGACTTCAACACAATGTATGGTTCATAAAATATGACATTTATTCATATAAATATATATATATATATATATATATATATAAATAATAAAAAAAAATTACTTGACTTTAAAGTAGGATATCAGTACATTAATTTCTTACCACTGAAATGTAAGTTAGTTTGTGCAGCGGGACCTTCTTTTGATCCGTAAACAAAAACCTCTCGCTTAACATCATGTTCTCTTCAGTTAGGCATTTTAAATCCCTCCGAAATCATATTTACTCTCATAAATATATTAATTTGAAGTAGCCTTCATGGCTGTCGCCGGCCAACGAGTTGGTGTTTTTTCAATGTATGCTTCAGACACGGGTCACGACGAGGCGTTCCCCATAGCGACCCCTAGAGGACGCAGTGTCTCGTTCCCTACTCAGGGAACCATGGTTACATAAGTAACCTGAGACGTTTTACAGGGTTATAAAAATAACCTGCGAATAACCATAAGGGAACGTTCTCTATACGTTATTTTTAGGTTATTTAAAAAAAAGCCACCCTGCAACGTTCTGGAAACGTTATTTTATGGTTACAAAAATATAATCTAAAAAGAACGTTCCCCTAACGTTAGTATATGGTTCCCAAAAAAATAACCAAACGGGAACCAAAAACTAACATTAGGGGAACTTTCTGTGTTTGCTGGGATACCACTGTGTTTGCCCGAAGATGCCTTCTGCTATGGATTTGTTTTGAGCTATTTTTTTGAGTCATTTAAAGGCACAATATGTACGATTTTTTTTATTAAAATATCCAAAAACCACTAGAACAGTGTTATATATTTTGCTGACTTGTGTACTTACATTATCCCAAATGTTTCAAAGAATGTTTAAATACAGAGAAATAAGGTTTTGTTTTGTAGAAAACATGGAAACACCAAAGACGTTTTAATAGACCGGTGACGACCGCACAGAGTAGCATAATAACAGAACTTTCAAATGTATCTAGTATAAAACAGCACTGATTTTTTTCCCCACATACGCACGACCGGAAGGAGCGGAAGCGTTCGACTTTGGCATAATAAAAGCTCTGCTGCTTTCGAGCCGTGTGTCACGCTCGTTCAGTGGCCTCGTTTAGCTTCGAAGGCTTTCAGCCTCACCCTGCTTCATTCTACTACGTTAACAAATCATTAGCTCATCCATGAACATGATTTCTGCTCGAGTCCTGTCGGATTGCATCAGCTGTGGGGATGAAGACAACACCCATGATTCCACACTCAGTCATGGCATCATCAAACTACGCCTTTGCTTCTTTGTTTATTTTGAATACATGCCCTCTAGCAGCAAAAATTACATATTGTGCCTTTAATATTAACTTGTTTACCTAACTGTCCTATAGGATCAATGTCACATTTACCAGTGCCGAAATTCGGGATTCTTGTTCGTCTGATATTGCTTAACTTTGTGTGTTTTAAAAGAAAACTTCCTACAGGGGATTTTTTTGCACCCACATCTTTAATTTTGCATCATTTTTCACCAAACACCTGCTTAATGATTCCCTCTGCCAGTGGCATTCATTCGCTATAGCTGTCTGTAAACTCCTTCAGAAAAAAAATGTGTGGCTCACTTGAAAATTTTCAGAGGGTTTACGTATACAACTGGGACCAGTGACTATCATCGTTTTTAATATTTGGGCCTTATGGGGTGTCCCTTAACACACTACCAACATGGCTTGATTTCCGAAGAAAAACAAAACAAACGACTTACAGTTTTGAATTATTCTCAAACACTGCACTGCATATATGTATTAGCAGAGAGACTGCATGTCTAATGTAACAAACAATATAAGTAAATGGACATTCTAACGGAAATATACACAAATAAATCAAAATGGTTAAGTCTGTATCATTACCCAGCTCTAGTCACTGACCAGCAAAGTACTGTATAACTAAGACAGATGTCTGACAGCAAAGCACAGAAACGGGTATTCAAACAATGTTTATTCACAATATCCACACATGGATCCACTATCAAGTCTACAACATGTACACTGCTCACAAAAGAGGATTGAGAGTTGATGCAGGCAGGTAGTTGATGCAAGTCAGTCTTCTTCTAAACTTATCATCTCAGCCTGTCCACTGTCTCCAAGCAGGGCAAGCAGCCTCCTATAGCCATTCCTAAAACAATAAGACAGATTTTAAGGAGAAAATGAAGCATAGTACAAAGCGAATGGGAATGCTAATGGATAACATTGGTTTTAGCGTTAAGTTTCTTCTCAGATCTCAGCTGACATATAGGTAACTGTTACTGTACCTGAGTGAGGTATTTTTTCCCAGACCTCTCTTGCACTCTGTCTTTCTTAGGCTCAGTGACAGAAAGGGAATAAGAGCTGTCACTGTGAAGGGGTGAAGGACGGCAGCAACTTCTAGAACATTATACACTTGCTGGTCATATACACCTTCATTCTCTTCCACAAAGGCCCTGGGAAAGAAAAAAATAGGAACTTCGAATGAGAAAGTACAGTCTCTAAGGCAGCACTGATCAGTGTGGGTAACTTACCGTAGAATAGTAGTGGTGTGTTCACATGGCTGCTCTCCTACCGCAGCGGTGCACCTCTCCACAATAAGCTGCGTAACCTCTGTGCTCAGCCTCTTTACTGAGAGAAATGCAACAGGGATTTGATTGAATAAAAACAATGAAATATATTCCAATTTAATTTTTTATCAGCATTTAAGAGGTCTTTATAAAAGAGGATCTATCTAATTGATGGGTTACAATGTTTTAGCAATGTGTGAGAGACCAGAGATCACATCTGACTTCCCACCAGGTTCAAATGACCCTTTTTTGGTTTCTTTTCATGCCATCTTACGCTGCTTTTCCACCAAAATTACCTGTAACAGGAACTTTTTTCCCCCAGACCTGTTGCTGTCTGCGTTTCCATTGCAGTCTAAAGTACCGTGAAGAATAGGCAAATAGTTTGGTGACGTAGGTCTGCGCGCGTTTCTCAATACCAAGTATATAAGCAAATGTCGGAGACGAAACGACGCAAGTCTGGTAATTCTGCAAACAGCAGCGTACTTGATAACGTCAGTCAACTCACCTTGGCTACTGCAATTTTCCTCACTGTATTTACAATACGAAATATGACATCAAACACCATTGCCTCTTTTCGTTTTCATGTAAACATATTAATAGCCGCAGAAATGTAGTTCAGGGAATGTAGGCTACATACATTACAATGAAACGAAATATTATATCAAACAGTATTGTCTCTTTTCATTTTAACATATTAATAGATTAATATAATAAAGACCAAAGATACCTGTTAGATTTACCCAAAACAAATTATATGTTTAACCACTACAAAGACATCAGAGCCAGCGGCAAATGTCAGAAGGACTAGCCGAGTTGAGACTGCTCTCGTCGGGAAACATGAGCACTGAGCGCCCGCTGATCGCATGGAGCTCACGTCTCCGAAATCGGCGAAGCACATTTTCAAATAGGCGCTGTCTTTATAAATAAGCCGCAGATTTGAGTTTTAAACAACTAGGCCTACATTCTCGCCTGAAAGTATTTAAAAACCACATTTCATGACATAATAACAGTAATATTTTTGAAAATTATGCGAATATGGTGGTCGAGTACAGGTCAAAAGTCCCTAGTTCCTGGGGAAAGTTCCTGCGGTGGAAATGGGGCTTTAGTGAATACAAATGGTGGGGGTGGGGGTGGGGAGGGGAACCTAAAACACAGTAACATATATTAACTGGATTAACTCCCATTTACACCAAGAGTGATAACTATAATGATAACTAAAACCATAAAGTCAAAAAGAGTTTAAAAAACAAAATTGCTCCAAATCTAAGAAAATAACAGCCCACATAAAAACTACACAAATTATTCTACAGGTCGGGGTCTGTAAGATTTTTTTTTGCGTTAAATTAATCTATTTCTATTTAAAATAAATGCTTTCTTATTAACTTCCAATTTAAAAGAATCCTGAAAAAAAAAAAGTGTCACGACTTGAAACTGCGTTCACTCTTTCCCCCTGTGGGGTGGGTGTTGATTCGCAGGCTGCCAGCAGGACAGGATGATTGACCACTGCTCCAGTAGAGGGTGTGGCTGGGAGAAATCGGCTCAGGTACTGGGAAATGACACTGTTCAGCTGCTGCTTCAGGTACGCCCCCTGAGATTGGGACACACTCACTGCCACTGACAAACCCTGAAGACACCAAGACAATCTTAGTTATGACAAAAACGGAACAAAATCTACAGTGACCTCAGGATATAGAATCCGTGTATCATTCGATCATTTGTTTTTTGATTGAATATTCAAAGTAGAAAAATGATAAAACGGCTCCTTTTTTGTTTTTTTCCGAAAAACGAGAATTCAGCTTAAATTTTCGTTTTTCGTTCATGGGTGGAAAAATGAATAAACAGCTTGAATATTCGATTTCTACACGTGGGCGGGAATTAAACGCCCCTTTCTGCTGATTGGTCAGCCGAAGATCAAACTGCCTTCTTCAATTCTTCCGCAGTATCACGCAGCAGAATAATAGTCCTCCACTGCTGCAGTTGTATGGATTAATAACCCATTTTATCAATTTCATATTTTTCTCATCAAACAGACTAATGAATAGCTCGACACAACTCGTACCAGGGCAGAGTC